TAAAGTTAGAACCGTGATGCATGCCTTTCTTGACTTTAAACCATGCAGTTTCCCCTTGTTCTGTCTGAACGACTGCCTCTTGATCTATGTACAGGCTCCTCATGAGCACAATTGTGTTCTCGAATTCCCATTCTTCAAAATGTTATCCATAATTTGTTATGATCCTCACAAATGCCTTTGCATAGTCAACGAAACACAGGTAAACATCTTTCTGGTATTCTCTGTTTTCAGCCGAGATCCATCTGACATCAGTAATGATATCTCTTTTTCCATGTCCTCTTCTGAACCTGTCTTGAACTTCTGGCAATTCCCTGTCGATATACTGCTGCGACCACTTTCGAATGAGCTTCAGCAAAATTTTATTCGTGTGTGATATTATTCAATAATTTCCACATTCTGTTGGATCATCTTTCTTGGGAATAGGCATAAACATGGATCTAGTCCAGTCGGTTGGCCAGGTAGCTTCTTCCAAATTTCTTGGCATAGATGAGTAAGCACTTCCAGCACTGCATCTGTTTGTTGAAATATCTCAATTGGTATTCCGTCAACTCCTGAAACCTTGTTTTTCGCCAATGTCTTCAGTGCAGCTTGGACTTCTTCCTTCAGTACCAAGGGTTCTTGATCATATGCTACCTCCTGAAATGACTGTCAGCCAGTTCATAATACATAAAATTACCCACTTCTGGTTCTGCAGATTCATGGTTCAGGTGGTTAAATTTCAAGGTAGCAGATGAGTCCACACGTTTCTGAGTCCTTCTGTGCTACTCAGGCATCTAGACCAATATGATTCGATTTGTTGGAAGACCATAGTGCCAATAAAGCCAGTAAGTAGTGAAACGGACTTGCAAAAGAGGTATTTAAATAGGAAAAAACTTTGGTAATATTTCACCTATTTTATTTTAGGCCTATTGAGGCTCATAGAATCTTTCAATATTGCAACTCAAGTCTTTCAGCATGAGAAATGCTGATGGTATTCTTCCCTTCTGGTTTTCTAATTCAAGGTCTTTGCAAATTTCATTACTTTGTCTTCTCCAGCCACCCTTTGAAATCTTCTGTTCAGCTTTTTTACTTCATCATTTCTTCTGTTTGCTTTGGCTACTCGGCACTCTAGAGCAAGTTTCAGAGTCTCTTCTGACCTCCATTTTGGTCTTCGGTCATTAGTCTTCAGTGTGTCAAATCTATTGAGATGGTCTCTAAATTCAGGTGGGATGCATTCAAGGTTGTATTGTGGCTCTCTTGCACTTGCTTTTCCTTCAGCTTAACCTTGAACCTGCATACGAGTAACTGATGGTCTGTTCTGCAGTCAGCCACTGACTTTGTCTAATTAGTAATGTTAAGCATCTCCATTGTCTCTTTCCACAGATGTAGTCGATTTGATTCCTGTGGCATTGGCGAAAAACAAGGCTCCGGGAATTGATGGAACACCAATTCAGATGCTTCAACAAACAGATGCAAAACTGCAAAACTTACTCGTCTGTATCAAGAAATTTGGAAGACAGCTACCCAGCCAACCAACTAGAAGACATCCATATTTGTGCCCATTCCAAAAAAAGGTGATCAAACAGAATGCGGAAATTATCAAACGATATCATTAATATCACATGCTAGCAAAATTTTACTCAGTATAATTCAAAAACAGCTGCAGCTGTATGTCAACAGGGAACTGCCAGAAGTTCAAGGTAGATTCAGAAGAGGACATGGAAGGAGGGATATCACTGCTGATGTCAGATGGATCTTGGACAAAAGCAGAGAATACCAGAAAGATGTTTACTTGTATTTTATTGAGTACATGAAGGCATTCAACTGTGTGGATCATAACAAATGATGGATACATTGCAAAGAACACTTAATTGGGCTCATGAGGAACTTGTACATGGATCAAGAGGCAGTTGTTCAAACAGAACAAGGTGATACTGCATGGTTAAAAATTGGAAAAAGTATGTGGCAGGGTTGTATTCTTTCACCTTATTCAATTTGCTGAACAGACAATCCAAGAAGCTGGGCTATATGAACACAGCATCAGGATTGGAGCAAGGCTCATTAACCTGAGATATGCAGATAGCACAACCTTGCTAGCAGAAAGATGACTTGAAGTACTTAGTGATGAAGGTCTAAGATTACAGCCTTCAGTATGGATGACACCTAAACAAAGAAAATGAAAATCCTTACAACTGGGCCAAAAAACATCATGACAAATGATGGACTGTCAAAGAGTTCACTCTTCTTGCATCAACAATGTCCACGGAAGCAGCAGTCGAAAAATCAAATGACGTATTGCACTGGGCAAATACACTGCAAAAGGCTTCTTTAAAGTGTGAAAAAGCAAAGATGTCACTTCAATGATGGAGTTGCACCTGACCCAAGCCATGGTCTTTTTAATTGCCTCACAGATGCATGTGAAAGCTGGACAACAGGAAGACCGAAGAACTGATGCATTCGAATTGTGGTGTTGGTGAAGAACACTGAATACACCACGGACTGCTAGAAGGAATAAATCTGTCTTGGAGGAAGTACAGCCAGAATGCTACTTAGAAGCAAGGATGATGAGATTTCGTCTCACTTACTTTGCACGTCATCAGGAGCAGGAGCGGATTAACCAGTAAGCAAGGTGTATACTTACTAATCTGTAGTGAACAATTATACCTGTTTTTCACATTTCCTTTGGTGAAAACAGGTGAAATTGTTCACTACAGATAGCAAGTATGCACAAGTAAGCCCGTGTGTACCTTGCTTATTGGGTAATCCAACCCTAAAGGAGGGACCAATCGCTGAAGAAAGACATCATGCTTGGTAAAGCAGAGGGTGAGCAAAAAAGAGGGAACCCCTCAGTGAGACTGACTGACACAGTGGCTGCAACAACGGGCTCAAACACAGCAAGGATTGTGAGAATGGCACAGGACTGGGCAACATTTTCTTCTGTTATACATAAGGCTATGAGTCCCAGTTGACTCGATGGTACCTCACAGCGACATGGAGATTCAATTTTGAAAATGTGAAATAAACAAAGGAACTGTAGCCAACAAAACACGTGTGTGTACATTACCATGAAAACAAGTTATTTTTCAGAAGGAATTCTTTAATCATAATTCAGAAATTTATGCCTTACAAAAGCATTTTATAGAAATGGTGTCATTTCTGAGGTATCAGGAAAAATACACTCATTTTTTTCTGCTTCAGTTGCTAAAGTCACTTTCTGTCCATTTCATTACTATCACCATATTCTTGGTTAAGAAATCCTGAAGATGACCCAATCCCAGTGGACAGAACACAGAAAGAAGCTAGATGTGTCTAATGTGCAACTTGCTTTTCTTCAAACATCTCTTCTGCTAAATTATTAAGATCTTTAAAATTCCTAGGGTTATTCTAAGAGACAACCAACAGCAGCATTTCATTGTAGAGCATAAAAGACCTCAAGAATATCCTTCAGTTGAAAACGAATGGGGGTAGATTCTGTCACAACAAATAAAGTGTAGGTTATCTTCGAAGGCATAATTTTATTGTATTCAGTACTAGGAGGAAGGTAATCTCAATATATGCATTCTTTTTCTCCTTTGTTGGAATCTGTAAACACAGCACCTTGCTGTATGCAAAAGGCTATCTTACATCTTAGTAAAAGGTATTTTTTGGTGTGGTACTTTTAAAGGTTGGTTCTGCTATTATCCTTGAACAAACTTAAGTCCCTCACCTAAGCCATTTTTCATTTCAATTATTACTTGGCTGCATAAACACTTTTCATCCGTTATATAAGCTAAATCTCAGTCCTAGCTCCCTCTTCGCCCTGTCAACACATCCTACGTAAATATGGACACACAGATCAGGTTTGGGGAGCTGTTCTCTCATACCTCATAAAATGCAGAAGTGAATTAATCCAAATTTTGCTGTTCATGAAATGGGGTTCAGTATATATATAGTCTTAATAATTTAACAACATATACTACTACATTCTGTTAACCTGCTATTAATAGTCCAAATAACCTATTACAGATGTCCCTTTTTAAGCTCTTTGTAACTTCTTAAGGACTAGGTTAGCAATGTGCTAGCAACAGCATTTTTGCAACATTCCAGATCCCCTATCTTCAGGGAATTTTTTTTACCTTAGAATTTTCAAAGCATTCATGGGCAACATCTCATTCAATATAACTGGATAAGAGTAACTTGATTACAAAACTGGATGACAATACCACTAAGTGGACTGAACAAAAGATGGGTACTCAGAAAAAAAATTTCTAGTCTGAAGGAATTATTAGTGACTTCTAAGAACCCACAATTTATTCCCCAATGGAAAATATACCCTGTAAAATGTGAAAAGTAAATTGTTTTAGAAGAATTCCATATAACACAAGGTGTTAAAACACAGGCATCGCCTGAACTAGTTAAAAAAAAGAAATTTGTTAATATTTTAGCATTTAGTATCTGTAAAAATGTGAATTATTTAATAAACAAGCTAAAACATGTTAAATGAGTTTACATTTGAAAATGTCAGTCTGAAATAGTGCATTCAACAGTTTCAGGAGACAAAACTGATCTGCCCAATTAAGAGCAGTCTTTGTATCACAGCAGCACAGCTTCTCACTCCCTCACTACCCTCTAGCCCTAAAAGAAAAGATTCCAACCACAGCACATTGAGAAACTTTTCCAAAGAATGATTAGATGTATAAAACGTAAACATTTTTTCCCTTTAAACTATTTTCTAAATTTTGCCCGACTCAGCATTTGATACAATAATCATGCCCAGAAGAAGAGGCCCGACAGGGCTGTTCTTCACACTCAAGACGTTTTCTTGCCTTACCAGATAATTGAAAACAACGACAATCTAAAAAGAGACCATTTCTTCTTCCAAATATTCATTATAGAAGTAGAGCAGTTACAGCAAAAGGAAATAGACACATGCACGCTAAAGCACATCCACACAATCATGAAAACTTTCACGTGACAATGGCTACATTTCCTTCCAAACAGGTAATTTAATACAGTTTTGCTACCAAAAATTCAAGTACAATGCTCAAGCAAGGGTACTGCAATCTAAGGGAAAACGAAGCTCTGATTTTATTATTAAGTAGAAGCTCTGATTTTCATTATTACTCCATAATGAAATTACTATTAGCTCTGAAGCCCTAACACTGGGAAGGTAGCACTGGCTAGCTGAGAAAAAAGGCCTGTTTACACACCCAGGACAGTGAGGAATCTTCAAGACAACCTGATGCCATCTTCTAGTCTCTCAAACCTTTTATCCAGTTGAGAACCAAAAGCTTAGAGTTGCTGCTTGAGAATATTTCATCAATAAAGTTTTAAGGTGTGCTTATTTTCACTTGTCCTCTGAAAGATCAGTTGAAGAGGAAACAAAATCTTGTGTTCTGGGTGATCAACATCAATACACAATTCTGAAAAACAACTGCGGCCATATACATTTGCTTAAATTTTTCTGATTATAACAAGCTTCAGTAAAAATCATTTTAATAGGGTCAATTTTTAAAGGGTTATTTTTCCTTTACATATAACCAATACATCTTATTTACATATGTGTCTTCATTTTAATTTTTCTTCATATATAGTTTACATTTTGACTGGTATACAACTGTTATATACTGTTTTTATAGAAAAGTAGTTTGATAATAGTTTGTCTTCACACTGAGAAGTGAATACAGGTGAAGTCTTAATGAATAACAGAAAGATGAAGACTCAGGACAAACAGCCTGTCTATGGAGACATCTGCCTCGTCTGCATACATTATAGGAGGAAGCAACAGAACACGCAGCAACCATGACTGTAAAGACCTTGAAAAAGAACTCTTGACCATTGCTTAATGCTGCTATTGATGTGAAATTCTCACACTAGGTTCATTTTTTTCCTCTCAAAAAACTGATTTTTCTAGTGATATTTAGCTTTAAAAAGGTATCTTTGGTTCTTTAACCCTCAGAGAACTGGTATATTTGGCAACTAACCACAAAAATAACCAGGAGAATGTATCATTGCCCATAGTCTCCAAAGGGTTAAAGCGCATGAATTTTCTATGACCTATTATAAAAGACACCCTATTCCACTTTTTTCTTAAAAGAAACTTTTTCTTTGGTTTCTTGTAACTTTTCAGTGAGTCTATCCTTCGTTTCTTCCATTTTCTCTGTGAGAAGCTCCTTGGTCTCTTCCATCCTGTCCTGCAGATATTCCTTAACTGGCGGAGGTGTTGACATGTAGCCACGACTTCTCAAGTACTTCACAGTAAAGGATGTTCCTCCCAAAGTCACAGTATATCGGGCAGGTGTTGCAATCTTAAGAAAAAAGCAAACATAGGCAGATCAACACCTGATTATAACCATAATTTCTTAAAAACAAGTTAAAATTCTGGTAATAACCAAGCACTGTAAAACTGCTTCATTCTCTTGCAAGATCACTATAGTAACACCCTACATGGTTTTCCCTCCTAACAAGGGATGCATCTTCTGTAACCTCATCTTATGTTTGTCATTTAGACAACCCAACCAAAAATTATCCAAGTATCAGGTCAACAGAAATGAAGTCCTTAACTAAATACCACTAACAGTAACAAAGGTGCAAGTGTTTCTATTCCTTAAAAACTCTGCCAATCAAACACTTTGGGGGACAGAGTACCGGGGCGGGGGACTGGGGACTATGGTTTCAGGGGACATCTAGGTCAATTGGCATAACAAACTTTTAAAGAAAATGTTCTACATCACACTGGTGAGTGGTGTCTGGGGTCTTAAAAGCTACTGAGTGCCCATCTAAGATGCATCAATTGGTCCCCACCCACCTGGAGTAAAGCGGAATGAAGAATGCCAAAGACACAAGGAAAGTATTAGCCCAAGAGACAGAAAGGACCACAAAAAGCAGATACTTCATCAGCCTGAGACCAGAAGAACTAGATGGTGCCTGGCTACCACCAATGACAGCCCTGACAGGGAACACAACAGAAAGTCCCTGGTGAAGTAGGAGAAAAGTGGGGTGCAGAAGTCAAATTCTAGTAAAAAGACCAGACTTAATGGTTTGATTGAGACTGGAGGGACCCCGGAAGACATGGCCCCGGACTCTCTGTTAGCCCAAAACTAAAACGATTCCCGAGGCCAACTCTTCAGACAAAGATTAGACTGGACAATGGGACATAAAATGATACTCGTGAAGAGTGTGCTTCTTAGTTCAAGTAGATACATGAGACTAATGGGCAGCTCCTGTCCAGAGACGAGATGAGAAGTCAGAGAGTGTCAGGAGCTGGTTGACTGGACATGGGAAATCCAGGCTAGAAAGGAAGAGTGTGCTGTCACAGTATAGGTAGGGAGAGCAACTAGGGTCACATAACAATGTATGTATAAATTTTTGTATGAGAGACTAATTTGAATTGTAAACTTTCACTTAAAGCACAATGATTAAAAAAAAAAAACCTGCCAAATACTTTATTTCCTTAACATTGCTAACGTTCATTGTTGAGATTACTACAAAGTACTTCAAATGGGGCAAGGCATGGGACAAATGTCGCTTTATTACTGAACTGAGTTTAGTTTCATTCCTCTCCCTTATCCAGGTTTCATGCTCCCTACTCATTACAATTGGCCCTGGGTCTGGAATCCATGAGACCAAAAAACAGTAAAAGAGTGAGCAGACATTAGACATGCACAGGTTGAACTATGATCAGGGACTTAAGGACCAAAAATTAAAGAGCAAATGAACTGATCAAAGAGAATCATAAAAACAAAGAGGCTGCACATTCACAGTAGTACTTCTAGCTTACTGTACACTCTTTGAAAGAGCTGTCTGTGCTGTCTCCAATTTTTCTCCTCAGTTTGTTCTGAAACTTCCTCTAACCAGCATTCACCAGCTCCCCTTCTCCACCAAAACTGCTCTCATCAAAGTCACAATGACTTCTATGAAACTAAATCCAATCGGCCCCTGAACAATTAGAACCATTTGATACAGCTTTTCACTCTTTACTCCTTGGAACATTTCCTTTACAAGGTTTCAGGGATTTCACACTTTCGTAGTTTTCCTTCTATCTCACTGGCTACTTCTTTTCAGGCTTCTTCACCAAGCTCTCCGCATGCCTCCAATCCCTAAACATTGTGTGACCCAGAACTCAGTCCCGGGGCCTCTTTACTTCCCTCACTCCCTTGGTGATATCATCCAGTTTCAAATGCCATCTATCATCCATCCATGAAACCTCCTCCCGGAATTCCAGTATATACAACCACCTACTCATTTCCATGAACATGTTCAATAGGATCTCAAACTTAGGATGTTCAAAACTGACTACCTGATCTTCAACTGTCCCTCCCTGCTCCTCTCCAAGTGTTCCCCATCTCAGTAAACGGCAGTTCTATTCTTGCAGTTGCTCAAGCCGAAAGACTAGGAGATAGTTTTGACTCCTCTCTTTCTCTTACATAATTTATATCCAATCCATTAGATAACCCCATCAGCTCTACCTTCAAATCATATCTACAATCCAACTACTTCTTATCCTTCTACTGCTACTATTGTGGTCATAGCCACCTTCATCTCTCACCCAGACTACTGCAATAACCTCAAACCAGGTCTCTCAACTTCTACCCTTGTCCTGCTAGAGTCTGTTTTCAACACAGCAGTCCACTTCGCGGAAAAGCCAAAATCTGTACAGCAGCCCAACCTGACTGAGTGCTCCGTCCCCTCTGCCCTGCTTACTCACTCCACCCTATCTGCTTCCTTGTTATTTCCTCAAATGCTCCAGGCATCCTGCTGCCTCACAACTTCACACTTGGGATGTCCTCACTTTGAACTGCTCTTCCCCAGATAACTGCCTGACAAACTCCTGCACCTCCTTCAAGTCTTTACTCAGACAGGCCTTCTCTGCAAGGTCTTCCCTCTAAAATAGCAATCTTCCCCTGAAAAGAAAACATGCTCCCATCCCTGACTTGCTTTTTCTTCTTAGCACTACCCCTATATAAATACAAACTCACGCACAATATATATGCGTGTGTATACTGTACATTTTTTTTTTCAACTTCATGTTTTTTGTCTCTCTCTTCAGTTGCCTCCCCACCCTACTCCTACTCACTAGAACATAAACTCTGTGAGGGCAGGTATTTTGTGCTTTTAATTAAATCTTTCAGCATGGCACCCGGCACAGAGTGGTAACTCAATAAATTTTTGTTGAATAAAACACCAGGTGCATTTCCAGGAAATTTCAAGTGAGTTAATGAGAGCATCCTAACCACAGCCACAGGCCACACTCACAGATTATTCCTTTCTCATCTTTGCCTCACTGAATTCTGAGGGTTTGCCTTGGTGAAGCAGTGAATATCAATGTTGCTCTATTTGAGAAACTAGGGGTACAGTATATACACAGAAGTAGCTGTCTCCATACTCAAACCTCACAAAGGAAGAGTGTGGTGTAAACACTGCTGACACTGACCCATGCACCTGCACAGCTTCACATTGCAATTCTAGTTCAACCTGCATGCACTGAGTACCTATCTGCCTACAAAGCACAATACCAGGCACAGAGAAATACAAAGATGAAGAAGACATGATTCTTAATGCCTAGGTGCTCATAATCAAAGAAAATAAGCATAAAAACCTACTAACACCCAGACTGTGAGATGAACTCTGAAAGCTACTAACATGCTATGGAACATGGGATAAGGAGCAATTCTAATTAGAGAAATGGGTTAAATCAACATCATGATAGTTTGATTTATCAAGACTAAATTATACCCACTATAATTAGAAACCTGATCATTTATGAATAAGGTTTAATGTTGAAAATGAAAAGTTACGCTTTCGCTATCTAGTCAAAAATACAAAAGAGGAAATTTTCTAAGAGTTACAGGATTCTAATGAAGATGACAGAATAAAACAATGTTCCTTTTGATTACAACTATAAAACTGTAATTCTAGGTATTTTTATATGACAGAAGTAAAATAAAGTGGCATTTAGTTTCCACTTTTTCTACTTATTTTTTTCTTAGGTAGATGGTTCACATAGAACTGCATAAGAATTTGTCAATTGAAGGAGGAGGAGCAAGATGGTGGCATAAGCAGTTGCAAGCTTCCTTCTCCCAAAGCCAGAAGAAAACAAGCAAAAACTGATGAAATTGACAACCCTGGAACTCTGGACATCAGTTGAAGGGTTGGAGGACGAAAGGGAACACTGAATCAAGAAAACAGCAGCATGCAGGTGGCAACAGAATGGAAGTTAACGACACATGTGCACCCTACCCCCTTCCCCAGCTCAGTGTGGCCATCTTGAGGTGGCTGTAGCTGGCATTCCTGGGCCGGAAGACCCAGGTTGAAACAGCATGGAAAGCACAGCAGGGGCTGGAGTTCCTAAGCAGTGAGGTCTGGGTCACAGCAGCATGGTGAGGACAGTGTGGGCCAGAGTTTATGGACAGAGAGTTATGTATCAGAACATCATGGTCAGGGCAGTTGCAGGCTGGAGCCCCTGAGCAGTGATCCTTGGGACAGAGTAGCACAGTGTGCGTGGCATGGGTTGCAGTTCCTGAGCGGTGGGGCCTGGGCCAGAAATGAGGAACAATAACAGAAATGAATAATTCACTGCAGGGGCCCAACAGCAGATATGAATTGGAAGAAGAAAGAATCAGCGAACTTGAATATAAGGTGACTGAGATTATTGAGTTTGAGGAGAAAAAAAAAGATTGAAGAAAACTGAACAAAGCCTAAGGGACCTGTGGAACACCATCAAATGGACTAATATATACGATATGGGAGTCTTAAAGAGAGAAGAGAGAAAGAAAGGGGCAGAAAAAAATCCACAGACTTTAAGTCAAAATCTATTATAAGAGGTAAAGGACACTATATAATGATAAAAGGATCAATTCATCAGAAAGATATAATAATTACAAATATATACGCACTTAGCCTCAGAGCCCCAAAGGATATAAAGCTAACACAGAATTGAAAGGAGAAATAGACAGGTCTACAATAATAGTTGAAGACTTCAATAACAATAAAAGATTTGAACACCACTATTAACCAACTATACCTAACAAGCATGTATAGAACACTCCACCCAACAGCAGCACAATACACATTCTTTTCCAGTGTACACTGAACTATCTCCAGGATACACCATATCTTAGGACACAAGGTAAGTCACAATACGTTTAAAAAGTAAAAATCATACAAAGTATTTTTCTGATCACAAAGAAATAAACAAGAAATAGCAGAAAGAAAACTGGAAAATGCACAAATATGTAGAAATTAAACAACACAATACTAAACAACCAATGGGTCAAAGAAGAAATCAAGAGAGAGATAAAAAATACTTAGAGTCAAACAAAAATGAAAACACAACACACCAAAACCTACGGAATGCAGTGAAGGCAGTACTCAGGGGAAAATTTACAGCAATCAATGCCTACATTAAAAAAGAAGATCTCAAATCAACAGCCTAATGCTATAACTTGAGGAACTAGAAAAAGAAAAGCAAATTAAGCCTAAGCTATAAGAAGAAAGGAAATAACAAAGAGCAAAAATAAAAGAAATAGAAAATCAACAGAGAAAAATTAACAAAACCAGAAGTCGATGTTTTGAAAAGATCAATAAAATCAACTAACACATGGCTAGATGGACAATGAAAAAGAGAGAGAAGATGGAAGTATCTAAAATTAGAAATGAAAGTAGAGACATTACAACAGACTCTACAGAAATAAAAAGAATTGTAAAGGAATAGTATGAACAGCTGAATGCCAACAAACTGGGTAACTTAGAGGAAATGGACAAATTCCTAGAAACACATAAACTCCCTACACTGACTCAAGAAGAAATAGAGGATTCTCAACAGATCCATAAGAGGTGACGAGAATGAATGCATACTCAAAAACCTCACAGCTAAGAAAAATTCTGCCCCAGATGGCTTCACTGAGTAAGTCCACTAAACATTTATAGACATGACTCCAATGCTACTTAAGCTTTTCCAAAAAAGGGAAGGGAACATTTCTTAACTCATTCTGAGTTACCTGCATTACCTTGATACTAAAGACAAAGACACCACAAGAAAAGAAAACTACAGACCAATATTCCTTACAGACATAGATGCAAAAATCCTCAACAAAATACTAGCAAACTGAATCCAAAAGCATATGGATTATATACCATGATCAAGTGGGATTTATTCCACAAATGCAAGGGTTAGAAAACCAATCAATTTAATAAATCATAGTAATAGAACAAGGAAAAGATCCACATGATCATCTCAATCAACAAAATTCAACACACTTTTCGTGATAAAAAGTCTCAACAAGTTAGGAGTAGAAGGGAAATTCCTTAATACAGGCCATTTACGAAAAACACACAGCTAACATCATACTCAATGGAGAAAGACTGAGAATTTTCCCTTTAAGATCAGGAACAAAACAAGGATGCCTACTCTCACCACTGGATTCAACATTGTACTGGAAGTCCTAACCAGAGCAATTAGGCCAGAAAAATAGCTAGATAGATAAATGAATCCAACTTTGGAAGGAAGTAAAACATTTTTTCGCAATGACATGATTCTATACATAGAAAACCCCAAAGATTCCACAAGAAAGCTTAGAGCTAATAAACGAATTCAGCAAAGTGGCATTGTACAAGGTCAAAATATAAAAATCAGTCGTAATTATTATACATTAGTAATGGGCAAGCTGAAAAGGAAATTAAGAAAACAATATCTGCAACAGCATCTAAAAGAATAAAGTACTTAGGAATAAATTTAACGAGGAAGGTGAAAGACAAACACTGCAATCTATAAAATATTACTAAAAGAAATTAATGAAGACCTAAATAAATGGAAGGACATTTCATGTTCATGGACTGGAAGTCTTAATATTATTAAGATGTCAATAATACCCAAAGCAATCTATAAATTCAGCACAATCCTCCATCAAAATCCCAAAAGCCTTCTGTGCAGAAATGGAAAAGCCAATTCTCAAATTTATAAGGACAGGCCCCCCAAAAAACCAAACATGTTGTCATCAATTTTGACTCAAGCGATGCTACAGGGCAGAGTAGAACTGTCCCATAGGGTTTCCAAGGCTGTAATCTTTATGGGAGTAGACTGTCACATCTTTCTCTCATGGAGTGGCTGATGGGTTCGAACCGCTGACCTTTTGGTTAGCAGCCGAGCACTTAACCACTGCACCACCAGGGCTCCTTACATGGAAGGGCAAGGGACCCCAAATAGTTAAAGCAATCTTGAAAGAGAATAATAAAGTAGGAAGACTCACACTTCCTGACTTCAAAACACACTCTAAAGCTACAGTAATCAAAACAGCCTGGTACTGGTATAACAATAGACATGCAGACCAATTGAACAGAGTTCAGAGTTCAGGAACAAATCCATACATCTATGGTCAATAGATTTTTAACAAAGGTAGTAAGTCCATCCAATGGGGAAAGAACAGTCTCTTTAATAAATGGTGCTGGGAAAATTGGATTTATACATGCAAAAGAATGAAGCAGGATCCATGCCTCACACCATATACAAAAAACAATTTAAAATCAATCAAGGACCTAAATGTGAGAACTAAAAACATAAAAGTCAGAGAAGAAAACGCAGGGATATGGCTATGAGACCTATTTTTTAGCAATGGATCAGCTATGACAACAAGAACATGAACACCAAAAGATACAGTAGATAAACCAGGCCTCATAAAAATTAAATACTTTTGTTCATCAAAGGACTTTATCAACTAAGTGAGGTGACAACCTACAGATTAGGAGAAAATTTTCTGGAACCATATATCTAAAAAGTGTGTAATATCCAAAACATATTAAAAAAAACTTCCACAGCTTAACAAGACAAGCCAATCAAAAAATGGGCAAAGGATGTGACAGACATTTCACCCAAAGAGGATATACAAATGGCCAATGAACACATAAATAGATTCTCAACGTCATTAGCCATTAGAGACATGCAAATCAAAACCACAATAAGATACCACTTCACCCCTACTAGCATGGCTATGATAAAAAAAAAAAAAAGGAAAACAACAGGTTTTGGCAAGGATGTGGAGAAACTGGAACCCTCATCCATTGCTAGTGGGAATGCAAAATGATACAGCTGCTGTAGAAAAGTCTGGTGGTTCTTTAAAAAGCTGTACATAGAACTACCATATGACACAGTAATCCCACTCCTAGGTATATACCCAAAAGAACTGAAAGCAGGAACACAGAGACCTGTATACCAATGTTCATTGCAGCATTATTCCCAATAGTAAAAGACAGAAATAACCTAAATGTCCATGACAAAAGACTGGATAAAGAAAACGTGATATATACATACAATGGAATATTACTTAGTCATAAAGAAAAATGAAGCCCTGATACATACCACAATATGGATGAACCTTGAAAACATTATGCTAAGTGAAATAAGTCAGTTACAAAAAGACAAATACTATACAATCTCACATAGATGAAATAGGCAAACAGAAATAGAAACCAAAGCTTTTCAGTGGTTACCAGATGTGGGAGGGAGGGGGCGAGGGATTTATTAGTGTACACACAGTTTATGTTAATGGTGGGGGAATAATTTAGAAAAGGATATCGAAAATGGTTGTACTACATGAAGAATGTAATCAATGTCACCGAATACATGTAAAAATTATAGAATAGGAAAATGTTTTATGTATATTTGTACCACAATGAAATATGTATATACATATATAAATTGGTTATAACCTTGCACCACCAGGGCTCCTTCCTATAAAGATTACAGCTTAGAAAACCCTATGGGGCAGCTCTACTCTGTCACATGAAGTCGCTACGAGTTGAAATCGACTGACAGCAACTAACAGCCCTGGAAATAACCTTTGTCTGATCACAGCAGGTTATGAGTGACCTACCTATTTTTGAGGCACTTTTTCTAAACCAATATATATAATTATATACACACACACACACACACACGCACACACACATTTCTCTCTATATACATAATTTGTTGTGAAAATGAGATTAATATGACTAAATTCTACAATTTACAATGTCTTCTCTTCCAAAATAAAGACCCACAGGTGTAGAAGCTATCTACTTATAAAGACGTTGCCTGAATCCAGGCAACAGTTACAAAGACGATGAATTTCAAAAATAAAACATGCAAAATATCTAGAAACTAAGTCTAACGTTTATAGCATAAAACAACTTGAATTAAACTTTACTATTTTACTTACTGAGAAGATTAGCTATTATAAACAGTAAAATATACGCCAAATTCCACTCATAAGTCAGGTGGCATGTGGATGTCTGAGTAAGGGAAAGTTAATATAATATCAATAGAAGAAACATCAAAAAGATGACAACTACTCTGGAAATAAGTTGTCATTGTGAAATGGTTAAGTGCCCAGTTTCTAACTCACCCAGCAGCTCCGCAGAAGAAAGACCTAGCAATGTGCTCCTATAAAGACTGCTGTTGTTGTGTGCTGTCAAATCGATTCTGACTCGTCGTGACTCTATAGGACAGAGCAGAACTGTCCCATAGGGTTTTCTAGTCTGTAGTCTTCATGGAAGAAGATCACCAGGTTTTTCCTCCCACTGAGCAGCTGGTAGGTTCAAACCATCAGCCCTTCGATTAGCAGCTGAGCGCTTAAACGTTGCATCACCACGGCTCCTTCCTATAAAGGTTACAGCCTAGAAAACCCTATGGGGCAGCTCTACTCTGTCACGTGGGGTCGCTAAGAGTTAAAATCGACTGAAAGCAACTAACAACAACCCTGGAAATAACCTTTGTCTTATCACAACGGGTTATGAGTGACCTACCTATTTTTAAGGCACTTTTTCTAAACCATTTTATTCACATTTTAAATTCTTTTAAAACTTTATTCATTAGATATGTAAGACATGAAATACACTGTTAAATTTCAAAAAAAATAACTACTGGGGTAAAAACGGAGTTTTATGGGGTTAAGTCTGGGGAGTAATCTGTTAATAATAGTACCTACCTTAAACAAGGCATATGCTGTTAGTGCATTTCCACTCTGGGAATTTTTGAGAATGCTGACTATGCTGTCAGGTAACCCAATGAGTTCTAGAAAAGGAATAACATTCACTCCTCTATGAAAGAAACAAAACATAATTTACATATATACAAACTTTTAAGGACAAATATTTTCTAAAGATGATCTGAAAACACCAAAGCCACAATTTGCTGTAACAAATTTGTTTAAAAGTTGATTCTGCATTATTAAGCATTTTAATTTCACTTTGAGTAAACATATTACTTGATATACATTATATGCCCATAAATTTCATCATCAAAAAATAAAATGTGTAACCCTGTTGTGTTGTATCTTACTGTCTGCAACTTCTAGTTTGCTTTTGCACATATGTATCTCTAATTACCATATTAGGAAAAACAGAAACATTTTTATTACAGCAAAATTAACAGCTTTAAGTAACCTAAAAGGATGAGAATTATTTACCCCATCTTAGTTTCATCAACCAGACACTACTTAGAAGGCTCCAACTCAATTTTCAAGACCCAAGATTTTTACTTCTAAAACTCCTTATCAACCTTACAAGGCAATTACCATAAATTACAACAAAGTTTTGAAGGGAGGGAAAGAAGGCAGAGGAAGTCTCCAACCTAAACTGTTAAACCCTGATTTATTTTTTTTCAGTTTCCCCAATTATCAACATTTTGCTACACTGGCTCTTGTTTTTCCTTGCTGTGTGTGTGTGTGTGTGTGTGTGTGTGTGTGTGTGTGTGTGT